GCAACAAAATATGGGTATGTATTGTGCTGTGTAATGGTGCGTATATCCTGGCATCAAAGTAGCTGCCCACATGTGTTACCGTGATGGTCAGTTCGCGTAAGTCACCTTATCCTTGCATGAATTCTGTCCCTACCCAGAAATAGGCAACATGAATGAACTGCATTGTACGCCAATATGTATTACCTGTCGTCATAATTATTTGCATGTGTGTGAGCCAATACAGCGTCCACTTTTGGTTTAATCATTTTGCATATACTCCAGGACACAGAGTATGGTTGTAACATGTGTATCCCTCGGCTCGGAGAACAAATTATGTTGATAAGTGGCTGTTTCTGACGTGGGGAGACAGTACACTGAAGTGTACATAAAATATTCACATAACATAGCGATGTCCATGAAACGTTTCCAGAATGGGAATTTATGACATTTACTCAATTGAAGCACCATGCATTCTTCAGATTGACAATAAGTGATTATCATTCATATCCTTGAGACGAATTCTTCTGACTATGTCGATTTCACTGTTTACTGTGATAATGGACTGAAGTGTTGGTGATCTTCGTCATTACTCTTAGTGCATATCCGTTCCCATTATGATAAGAAAATATTTGTTTTCTTTGCCGTAAAGCTGCAACATCATCGTTTTACCTACTTTAAGATTGTGTAAGTCAATGTAGTGATTATATTGTTATTATAAAACGCAATATTCGGTTTTCGTGGAAAATCAGCGAAAAACAGAATGATCTTGAAGCATTTTAATCAAACAATCCGATACATAAATTGATGCACAAACGGATTACAGAGAACAATTAAAACGTGTGGGTGGCACATGCGCATAAAGACGACTGAAATACCCGTTTCATATCTATCACAAAAGCCAGTTATTTCCAAAGTACGATCGAGTTTTAATGGTGGTGATGTTTATCCCACTGGCTGAACCACAGAGTAATAGCAGTACTCAAAAACACTACGAATTCATGCAGTGAGTGAGTTTAGTTGTATGCCGCACTCAGCAATATTTCAGCTTTTTGGCGTCGGTCTCTAAATAATCAAGTCTGGACCAGACAATCCAGTGATCAACAACATTAGCATCGATCGAATTGAGATAGATTACATGTGTCAACCAAGTCAGCGAGCCTGACCACCCGATCCCATTAGTCGCTTCTTAAGACAAGCATGACTGTTTTACTGAAGATCATTTCTAACCCGGAAGATAACCAAAGATTGTAATGAATGCATACCACTATATGACATTAGTTTAAGAAAGGGTTTTAAGTTCCTTCATTCTACCATTTTACCTGCCCTCAAAATGACAAAATGCATTGATGGGATCAACAGACTGAAAAACGGATACCAAGCCAATATAATCGTCATAACCATTGGACGTCTCCCTGTCGCGTCCTTTGTGAGTTTTGACTGGCATATGAGCAATACATGGGCAGAGTTTTCGGGAGACATCTCTACTACCGATAATGTAATATCTGTGAAAATAAAAACGACCACTTCAGGGCTGACTCATTACCGTTTTCCCCTAGTTATTCGTCATTTACACTGTCTGCAATTGTGTGTCCATTACCAGGTCCGAGTTATGGTAGAGAATCGTCAGACCTTCGAAGCTGTCCCTAGAACAGAACACTTCAGTACCGTCGCCCACAGCACAGTAGAGCACTGTGGACGATGAAGATCGCTCACTCGTATGGTAGATTAAACTGTCAACACGCCAGAGCCCACAGCACAGTATACTGTGGACGATAAAGATCGCTCACTCGTATGGTAGATTAAACTGTCAACACGCCAGAGCCCAAAGCACAGAGCTATGAAGGCATCACTCGCCATCAAACGATGTGTAATCATGGTTGACTTAAACGGCAACAACCCACTCTTGGGTGGTACAAGTACGGACGCTAGGTACAAATCTAGAAGATTTCATTTTTGATAATGATTTATGCATTTATAATGATGATTCAAAAACATCTTGGCACAGGAACATATTCAGCTGTTGATTTGAGACTCAAACCTACTAAATAAATCACTGAAGCTAATATTTTCCCAATACCTGAATCTGGGTACACACTGTTCAATTTATCGATCAGTTTCATTAACCAGCTGCGTTTGCAAAACTAGGAAACTCATGATCAATAATAGTTGGTTTGGTACTTGGAAACCAGCAATCAACTTACTGACATGCATTGTGCATTCCTTAAAAACGGAAGCACCATTGATCATTTAGAGCATTTTGAATCATTTGTGAAAAATAAAATTATCAACAAATAACACGCAGTGTCTATATTGTTTAAAGGAAACCGCAATTGTGTTTACATTAAATTAATAATACAGTTTAGAAAATGGATTCAAAGTTTCAAAATCTAAAACTAACTGTATAATGGGCCTGTGGCCCCTCTACTGAGATAACGTCATTCATTGCCATTCACTAGTAACATGAAAGCTGATGCTGCAAACAAAGCAGCACTCACCAAATTCGTGCATCAGTCCATATTTGAGAAGCTTATTATACGATGTTGTCTTGAATATTTTCTGAAAGGTGATGATCCTCCATTTTGAATCAGGAATCACCGTCAAACATGTCCTGCTTAACTGTATTGATATTTCCATCACAAGGGATAACTATTTCATAGCTTCTTCCACGAAAAATTGTTGTCATAAAGTCTGTAATCATTTCATTAACAAAGATAGAATTGATTGATACGTACTGAAGATATATGTCATGATACAATTGGTAGATCGAAGTACCAATTGAGATTGTCAGTGGCTGTATCCTCAAAGGGGGTTTAATTATATAATTATAGTAAGTAAAATTATTGTGCTCCTGAGAGGGTATATAAACCACGTGTTCAGATGAATTTCAAGACTACCATGTTTTTAATCATAGAATATATGCTCTCTTAATTCGTGGCTAGATTTGTCCATAATTACTGAAGTGATGTTGTAAATCCAGCTAGAGCACATGCAGGTGGAAAATGTACCTTAAGTCCCGATTGTCTCTAGCATGACGATCTACCTTCAGTTGTTAGCGATCTATAGGCGTTTTCATTTTGTGTCGTTCATAGAAATATCGCGTTGGGGTTACTTGTTTGTTTTTTATCTAAATCTACGATATTTTGCTATTCTAGTTCTTGTTGACAAATATCCATTTTTTTAAAGATTGTTTTGATATTAATTTATAGCTTTCATAGTCACGATATTGCTGAAATATTGTCTGTAAATTTAAGTCGCTCACAGCTTGCACTGTCAACACTTCACAAACGTCACTCCTAGAAAAGCGATGAATGTTTATTTATCATAGCTGTCAGTGCGAACTGCCAACACTTCCAACCCGCCACTCAAATCAAATGTGGATACTGCCGCTTTTTAGCTGCTGTCTGAGGAATTAATGTTCCATAATATCTAAACATTCTGCTGGTAGGCTGATGATTTTTACCCATCAGGGATTCGAACCCAGATTCAGGCACACAATCGCCAGCACACAAAGTCAGCCGCCTAACCGGCTCAGCCACCGCGACTTCCAGCCACCGCTGGCGATTAGATGCCTGAGTCTGAGGGTGTGGGTTCGAATCCCGGATGTGACTCAACCCAACAAAAGTACTAGAATTTGTACTTTAATAAGAAAGTGTAATCCCAAATATAACATAGGTTACAGCTGACCACTTTCTACATGATACTGTGTAATCACTGATTCTTCTACCTCTTCCACAACGAACATAACAACTTCTGCAATATCACTAGTATGTCTTCGCCTACACAGTTTCAGTCGTTTTGATTTCCTTTTCAAAGTCTCCATGCTGATAATGATGCCATTTACATGGGCCAAACAAAACATAAGTTCTGAATACTGCATGCCCAACATGAAACAAATGCATATGCTTTCATCCATGACTTCATCCAAGATGCTAAACCCAAACAGAAGAAGTGATTGACTACTGGTTGACTTTTTCATACATATTTATAAGATCCTTAAGTCCTAATTAGGAGATAGCTAAGTCCTAATTAGGAGATATTAAGTCCTAATTAGGAGATAGCTAAGTCCTAATTAGGAGATATTAAGTCCTAATTAGGAGATAGCTAAGTCCTAATTAGGAGATAGTATCACCTAATTAGGAGATAGCTAAGTCCTAACTAGGAGATAAAAAAATTCTGACTGTGGCACTAGGACGCTTCCGTAGATTACAACGAAGCATCAAACATTACAATGTGTGCTAGACACTGACAGGTCATGTGTGTTTTACCAGTGTAGGATCCCGCTACTTCAGGATTGGTAGTCACTGGCCATTGATTCCGGTGCCAGAACATGTTCCACTACACTGGGTATTACGTTCACTGCCATAAAGTCCCGCTGACCATCGAGTAGATTGTCCGCCATTACTACGTCAGACTGAGGCCTCTGTATCACCGCTACACAAGTAAGAGGTCGTCGCCTGTACCAGTGTCATAGGCGGATCCAGAGGTGGTGTGCAGGGGTACGCACCCCTCCCCCCCCCTCTTTTTGTCCTGAAAGTTTATTGGAAGACCAGTGAAACTCTCGTTACAACGGTTGGAAATGAACTGTGCATCCCCCCTTTCTCAAAAAGCTCTACAGCTGTATCCCCCCCTGAATGTTGATGTTCAACTCCAACTTGAATTCAGCTGCTGCTGATTGATAGACCGCACATGGTACACACGGCACAACACATAAACGAACAAGCAAACATTGATAGCTGTCAAATACCCAAGACGACGAACGTATCTCGCAGGGGAAGCTTACAATGAACCACATGCTACATATGAATCGATATATTTTTTACACAAGAGATACACTAAAACCTATCAAAATCAAACCATCCATCTCTGGCAATGAGTTTTTAGAAGATCTGTTACAACAAAGAATACCTCGGGTATAATTTGCAATACCTCATGCGCTTTGACCAACCATTAAGGTATATGTGCAGCTGAAGACAACGTTTTATACCTAGCTATGTTGTGGCAAAATCTGACGATAGCCCATACTACACGTCTCCGCAAATACCACACAGATAAGGACATTCTGACGGTACATTGATGTACAGTTTGCAGTAGGACAGTCGGTAGAGGGTGCAGTGATGCGGGTCCTTTGCTGGACATTGGGCTGCAATACAAAGTAAACGAATTATACAGTTCATCAATACAAATGTTTATCCCGTTATCCCATTTACTGTGCGCCACGCTTGAATCTATATTGACAAACATTAAAATCTACGGTTACGCCTATAGTGCGTTTGGCTCAAAAGAGGACAGATGAATTGCAATTTAACTTGAAAACTAATAAAAATATAATACTCAATGAAACGCTCATGATAATCAAAACATCAGACCAACTCTGTGATTTGTTTGCAGAATTTATGTCCTAAAATTAAAAAAGATGTTTAACAAACTATCATTAAAATATTCGCACAGTTCACTATTTGTTACGAGGGAGGAGTGCAGAGAAAGGGACAGCCAGGTGTTAGAGAAGCACGTGCACAAGTGCCGACGAAGTTATTGATTCATTAACCTGTGCTGCGCCGTCTCCATCCTTTCTCGCATACCTGGCTGTTCCACTCTTTGCACCCCTCCCTCGTGCAAAATAGTGAACTGTGCGAATATTTTAATGATAGTTTGTTAAACAATTTTTTTATTTTTAGGGCATAAATTCTGCAAAAAACCCACAGAGTTGGTCTGACGTTTTGATTATGATCAGTGTTTCATTAAGTATTTTATGTTTATTAGTTTTCGTGTCAGATTGCAATTCATCGGTCCGCTTTTGAGCCAAACGCACTATAGTTCCCCTTTAATTTATGCACATCTATAACAGTGTTTGGCCGTGAGTGCAATTTCACATAAGATCGCTCAACTTGAAACGTGAAATAGGACGATGATTCTATGCTATTCTACTGACGAAACTCGAATTGAATGAAACATATTTAAGATGACCTTGAAACCTGGTTTCAAATTGGTTGACTTGTCAACGTACACGGACGGTATTGATTGGGGCTCATAATATCAGTTACCTGACATTCATGTCAATGGTCGTCTACTTAGAAGGTAAGCTACAGTATTGCTGTTTACGGCGTTAAACAATACATACACGCGCATATAAGAACTCTCTCTCTCTCTCTCTCTCCCTCTCTCTATCTCTCTCTCCTCTCTCTCTCTCTCTCTCTCTCTCTCTCTCTCTCTCTCTCTCTCTCTCTCTCTCTCTCTCTCTGTGATATATGCTTTAAAAAAGTTCTTGAATTGGTCTGTATTATTAAATTCAATATTTTCAACATTGCTTCGAACTTACAAATTTAGCCCGAATTACGATATATAACAGTGGATTCATTTTAAAATGTCTTACGTGTATGGCACGTCGTTCCTACATATGGTGGTTTACAAGTGCATTTACAGGTGTCTGTATCCAACCGTCCACCATTCAGGCATCGCTTCCCGACACATGGCGCTGAAAGGAGGATTCGTAACATATATTATGAACTTCTAGCATGAATAAACTTATCCCGATTAATATCGTCCAACACCTTCACGCAAATTGATGAGTTCAGTTGACAAATAATTGGATTCATTGTGTATTCTTGAACGGATCTAGTAAACTTAAGAAAGACAGATTGAAAATAGTTTATACGCGAAAGTTTTGTGTCGAATTCTTGACACAGGATACTGCTTTCTTCACATATCCCTTACTTTGTCGCGAACATCTGTTATCAACATGTATGTATCGGGATACATCCACCCGTTATTATGATAGGGTAAGAATCGTACATGGAGTGATCTTCATTACACCAGCATGGAATATCGATTGAATGCTTTCATATAAATACAGTATTTAACACCAATTATAGTACTTCAATATACACGCTTTGTCCTGTGTCAAACGGAAAAGAGTGAAGTAAATTATCAATCTTAAATTTTCTCTTAAAGGTTTCATTAAAATGAACAGTGGTACATTGAAGAAATAAAATTAATTACGAAAACCTGTCACAAAATTACTGGACCAGAAAAAAACCGAATGCTATAATTGTTTTAAAGCATTTTTTGACGGAAATAGTTCTGGACAAATTGTTATATCGCTCCAGCGAAACATAAACGTTATGTTTCCATCGCTAGACACCATAGTCCATAGTTGTATCATGTTCCTTAATAACATATCAGCCACCATGGACGCATCATTTACTGACATACAGCAAACAACTAGGGTGTCCAGTATCCAGATATCAGAGGCGAAGGAAGACTCCTGTATCACTCTGTCCTTCAACACAAGGATTTATTGCCCATGGCCATTAAGGAGGCAGTGAATCACACCAGCTACCATGATACCAGATGCATGGTACTAGAACGTGTGTGTTCATACATACACAGAAGAAAACTTATTAGGAAATGGAATATTCTTATTAGTAATCTTGCGATGGAAGTTTGGCTTTGAACTATAGAGCGTGTTAAAATGGTCGAAGAAACACAACCAAGCTGTTGCTCGAATCGAATGTCCTGATCAAATGACGATCACGGAGCACATTTCCCTGCACAATGATCAAGGAAATGAATCAAGGTCTTGACGCCATATGGCAAACTGGATGAGTGAGTGAGTGCCTTAATATTTAACTTCACATCGGCAGTATTTCAGCCATATCGTGACGAGAACAATCAAAACATTTATCCAAAATAAATCTATGCAATAGAAAGGACGAAAGACAGTAGAAACACAAGAATATCACAGATCCTGTTTAAAACCAGCATGTTTTCATAAAATCTATTATCTATAGACGTTGTAATAAAATCTATTATCTATAGACGTTGTAATAAAATCTATTATTTATAGATGTAATAAAATCTATTATCTATAGATGTAATAAATCTGTCATCTATAGACGTTGTAATAAAATCTATTATCTATAGACGTTGTAATAAAATCTATTATCTATAGATTTTGTAATACAATCTATTATCTATAGATGTTGTAATAAAATCTATTATCTATAGATGTTGTAATAAAATCTATTATCTACAGATGTTGTAATAAAATCTAACAGAAAACAATCCAAAACAAAACCAGGATACTGATCGCCAACAACTTAATGCAGATCACCATACCAGGGACCATGGGGACAATATATACTTTTGCTTCCTGCATGGACTTGACTTACAATATCTCTTCTGGTGTTGGCGATATTTTGGAAATTTAGCCGATCATTAAAGTAACAATAGTTTTACGGATCTTTAACCCCGGTCGAGAGTATAGCCACATTCAATCTCTGTTTAAAATTGTATCATACCAAGGTTGCTTCCTATAAAAAATCCAAGATTAAATGAGAATGAACGTCATTAAAAATATCCTTTATGGCAAACTGGATTGGTATAGGCACTGACCGTCGCAGAGTCCACACATGACGGGGCAGTAGTCTGTCTTGATATTGTAGAACTGCTCGCAGTGGTCGCAGGTGATCTGACTCCCACCCATACTTCCACACAGTGACTTGTCGTTACCATGGTCACCATAACTCCGACACTCCGCTGGAAAAAGATGTGGTTGGAACGATTTATTCAACGTAGTTAGAACTAGGAGATAAACGTATGTTTAGGACAAGAATGCTGTCATGTCCCATAGAGTAGTAAAACAGTAACATTGACATTTGATAAGAAAGCTAGCGATATGGTCACTCTAAGTAGATTTTTGAACGTGATAAATATAAACTCTTATGTCTGCACACATCGCTACTGGGGACTAGTCCCTTCACTCAAACGCTTCATCCACACTTCTACCATTAGAACCCCTGAAGATCAGGGTTAGAATTGATCTTCGGTAACCCATGCTTGAGGCGACTAACAGGACCGGGTGGTCAGGCTCGCTGACTTAGTTGACACATGTCATCGTTTTCCAGTGCCTACGTTGATCGATGCTGATTATGTTGATCACTGGATTGACTGGTCCAGACTCGATTATTTACAGACCGACGTCATATAGCTGGAATATTGCTGAGTGCGGCGTAAAACTAAACTCACTTAGTCACTCACTCACTCTACCATTAGAGAACGCCTTTACAAAGAATATTACCTATTGCAGCATTAAAAGACAAGTAACTATTCAATTCATGTGTGGAACCTTCCACTGTTGACTTTTGACAAGATGTATCACCGGGAAACGAAAGTTTGTTTTTCTTCCTTCTGGATGAATAATGAGCGAAACCTCAACGATGTAGAAAGATGTTATGTTTATCTAAGTATAATTTAACTCATAAACCCTGTGCACTTAAAAGAACCCACGAATCCGTTGGTATATAACCAGATGGTGGCCACATGAATACGTGCAAACACCTAGTTGCGGGTACAGCAACGTGCAGTAAACTTGGACAAAATACTGTGACTACGTGTCCCAGTCCACCCACCTGTGAATGGGTACCTCGTAAGGATGGGAAAGCCACATTAACTCGGTGCGCCTAGAGTTGTATGATCCCCAGGGAGTTGAGATTGATAATACATTGTGCCGTTTGAGACTGACATCCAATGATCGAGGGAAAACAAAACGCCTTTGAGCAGGTGATCTGGATATTGGCGCTATATAAATATACATAAATAAAAACTAAATAAAAAGGTGACAAATAACTGATATAGTGATTTGCCTTGTACCTTTTGAAGCTCTTTTTCCTGCATAGACGCAGCCAAACTCCGACGTGAAATCCCCCCACGTTGTAGACTGTACACCAGCTGTTGGTTCGACTGGTGAGGCTTGGTCTGGCTGAGTGATACGCTGGGCTTCTGTCCGGGAAGCAGCCGTGGTATTTGTTGTTGCTGATACAAAATAAAATACGGCTTGTTATTTTGTTCAAGATATTGAGATGTTCGAGAGATACGAAGTGCCTCACTAGTTCAATATCACATTGTCTAAAACTATATGTCCGAAATGAAGTAAGTATGTATATATGATATAATAAATCGGCAAAAAATCATTTATTTAGTGTCTTACCATATTGAATGAGTTTTCTTGATTTCAGCATATTGAACCGAAACACTATGCTAAAGTGAATAATTGTATCCAAAGTCGCTTTTTACCCTTACATATCACATTTGACTCAGATTTCAGTGATCTTCAGCATCACTTTCATTGTTGAACATACCTTAAAACTAAACACATTTCACGTTGCGAATAAGTACAAAATTTCTATTGAAAACATTTTTTAATCACTCACTCACCCAACCACCCTTGTGTACCCAAGATGTGCACATGTGTGTATGAAGTGCTTGTCAATATGTCAGAATGTCAATATTTGCAATATCAGCAGCTGTACGTCGCACGTTTCGAAGTTGACAACGTATCGATAAAATTGCGCGTCAAGAGCGTATTTATGTAACCCTCAGATGAATTACCACAGCCACTCTACTCCCTTCACTTGATAAGCGCCAAATCAATATCGATGGGCAACGGCTGAGCGACAGGTGTGTAATGGGTGAAATTACTAACAGGTCTTTAGTTGAGTCCGTTACATAAAGCGAATGAACAATTACATAAAACAATAAGATGTTCAGATTGAATCAGAGAAACAAATACCTATCAGCATGACAACAACTGGGAAACCGACATTCGAATGAATATTAAATTTTCAAAACATCTGCGGCAACAAGTTTGAAGCCATCGTTAGGTGGAGAACCATAGGTTCCAAATGTCAGGTTTTGACACATGCGCCATGTTCAAATGGTTCTTTCCCTATTGTTGTAGAGACCGGTCGTTATACTAGATCACTTTAAATGAGCCAATTTGCCACAACTGTTTCAGTATTTACAAGTTCCGCACTGTTGAATGTAAGAAGCACTTCTCTCTTTTTCTTTTTATTCTGAATTATGAGGTGAGCTTGAACAAATGGAAGTAACATTGCACATGTTTGAACATTGCGAATGTTATTATATGATAACTTAGGAAGCAGATTTTAATATGTTTATGCATACGCTGATTGCATGGTTACATTTATGTAACAAACCGAAACATGAGTCTCATTAACCTATTCAGACAATGACCTACTTTTCACCCGATCCGAAATTTCTCGTGTGAAAGTGAAAAGAGACACCACAAACAACTATTTACACTGAATTCCAATTCCTTGTTTCATATGATAATGGCATTTACAAGTTAATTTTAATTTTAAACTTTAATAACATCGTATTTCTATATTTCTGAATTTTCCTGTGACCCTTTGTTTGTTTTTCTCAGTATATATTACATAAGTATTTGGGAATTGAATGATAGATAAGGGGTAAGGAAGATAAAAGGCTGTGAAATTAATTACAGGCGTGTAGTTCAATACCAGGTGTGCCTATTATGTTACGCGATGCCTGATGACACCTTGACAGCATATAGTTGATAAACGTGCAGATGGTTGCAAATTCGGTATTGTCCTTCATGCAATCTGACGAAACACCCCAAGCTGTTGGCATGCTGGGTCACTGACGTACAGTCAGTCTCACGAGTCTTCACAGGGGACATGCCAAGGGCGGGTCAGTCCAGAGCTTTTCGTCATAGATGATTGATGAGTAAGTGAGTGAGTGAATTAATATTTATCGTTACATGGGCAATATTTCAGCCATATCGTGACGATAACAATTGATTATCACATTAAAGACCAATAACATAAGAAAATTAAAACAACTGTTGACAATGAACAGTAAAACTACTGGTGTAACACAGAGAGAGGTATAGCACTAAAATGTAACTTAAAACGAATACTATTATGCAAGACAATACAAAATAAGGAACGGGCTATAGATCACCAGAAAGTCAAATTACTAGAGACCATGGGGACTTAATGAATATTTGCTACCAGCATGGACCCTAGCCGGATTTAAACCATCCCTTCAGCCGTTGGTGATTGCAGGTAAATTTAGCCATAACTTAAAATCACAAAGATACAACGTTTTGAAATTATTGGTAAGCTTAATTTACCTTGAATGTTTCTGGCTTACCTACTCCCACAAGATAATTGATGAGAACCTGGACATGATGAATTTTGGCATTGTCATCTTGCAGCTGAAATGATCAGCTGATAATTCTAGCGAATGTTTCTCCATTTTGCTGAGCTAGCAATTAGAACACGAGTGAATATGGATTCTGGCGTGATCCCTGTCTTCTCTTCAAGTAATTATTGAATTCACGGTTCATCAACAAGGGAATGGATATCTACCGATGCTCATTAACCGATAACTTCCTTTTAAAGGAACACCCTAGCGAGGCCAGCTCTCACGTGTATTGGCAAGTGAATGTTTAACCAGAACAATGCGGCAACATGTGACACAGGTCAACATCGAAGATCAGTTTTGTCACAGATCAAATATATTAATGGTCGCCATCTCTACCATCAGTCATTTTGAAAGTGGTTTTGTAAGTAAGTTAGTAGAATTTGAAAATGAATCAACTTCGACAATATACAGAGTAGATCTGGACGTGGGAAGGGCCATTGATGTACATAATGTTGATGGAAATGGGCTACATTAATAAAACATGTGATTTGACTATAACTCAAATTGCATTTATCCAGTGTCCTAAATATAAATTAGACGTTAGTGCTTCAGGCATTATTGAGTGAGTGAGTGAGTTTAGTTTTACGCCGCACTCAGCAATAGTCCAGCTATATGGCGGCGGTCTGTAAATAATCGAGTCTGGACCAGACAATCCAGTGATCAGCAGCATGAGCATCGATCTGCGCAATTGGGAACCGATGACATGTGCAGACATCATTGAACACATTGCAGCAGGAAAACTGAACAACTACCACCACACGTATAAGCGTGGCTATGGGAGGCTATAGAGGGATCGGAATTATGTCGACAATATATACTTAACCTCCCCACCAATCTCACAATCGCGAGAGAGTTATACAACAATTGTCGCTTGGACATTTTAGTGTAAACAAGGTAAACCTCAGTCAATATTCCAACACAAACTGAGGGGACACAACTCACCACATATTCCACACATGTAGGGACACAGCTGGGGAACATTGTAATACGTCCTGCAATCCTTGGGGGTCAGGCTACGTCCACAGTAGAAGGAATCCTTCGCTGGACAGTTCACTGGAAGTAAAATTAAAGCCGTACAGAGTCGAGAAATGATACAGGTTCCGTATGGTGTTCTTGTACAGTCTGAATGAAGGAGGGTATTGTTGAAAGACCTTCAACAAACAAAATGTGTTGACAAGCAATTACCACTGACTAATCCTCGTATGGGTTTATGGCCGGTGGGGCAGGATATGCTCACCTGTTGGCGAACACCTGCTATCGTTATTATTTGATAGTGATTCATAAACACTTGCTCATGGTGGTCTATATCGTGCAGTTGCCTGTGGAGATTGACAGAGTTTTATCGCGTATATTTGATAGACCCTCAGTAAAACAGGACCAGGAAACCATAGTATGTTCTGTTCCGTGTCAATGACACGTGTTGTGTAAATGGTTTACATTGTATGGTTAGTTGGTTGGTTGTACTCAACAATATCCCAGCTATATGGTGGTAGTCTGTGAATAATCGTGTCTGGGCCAGACAATCGAGTGATCAACATCATGAGCATCTATCTACGCAATTAGGATACGATGACATGTGTCCACAAAGTTAGCGAGCCTGACCACCCGATCCCGTTAGTCGCCTCTTACGAAAAGCATGGGTTACTGAAGATCAGTTCTGTATGATTAGTCCTCTGTGATAGGACAGATGACTGGACATGACACATGACATACTGTACCTACACTGCTGACACGTCGGGCCCGAGTACGGCTTCTGGCATGTGCAAGTACACGTGTTTGTGTCAAGATTGCCTCCATTGAAACAAGCCTTCCCTCCACAGTCTGAAACAGTATGCATCCATTTTATAAATCAGTGATGGATTTTCCTTACGCGTTGAGTGCACTCGGGGATGTGGGTGGCCCAGTTTTTTCATGCGCTGTACAGAGTTGTGTCCCATTTGCACGCAAGGAACCGATTTGAATCCTGTCTCGAACCAGCTCTTGTGTTTCACCACAGTGGTAAACGTCTGAGACGTGCCTCACTTCAGACCTTCCTCCAAAATGACGTTAACACGCTGGTGTAGATTTTAAAAGAAATACATACTGTGTTGGAAAATCTGACATATATAACGTGATTATATACCTCTGAATGACTTTAATTAACCAATTACAATCCAGTATTTACTGAAGTCATGGTAGCATTATTCGTTTACATCCTGTATTTTAGAATGTGCTCAAATGAATAACGTTAACTACTGGTTGCACACAACCTATTGAAACTGAAACCGAAAAAAACAACAATGGTTGCAAACTTATGATTTCCGATCGTCAGATTTAGCACGTAGACTTACCGCAGAGTCCATCCTTACATGTATTGGGACAGGAACTGCATCTGGGTCCTTTCGTGTAGGGCTGAGAAATCCGGTTTTGTCTGACAAAGAAATGTGTTCGTGACTGTTTAAACACGATTGCTGTATTGTCCATTATCATTCACGGAAAGTAAATTAAAAAATTACAGAGAAGCTTACCGAAAAACAGACAAGGAATTCTCAATATAACTAAATGTTGCCGATATTTACGAATATGACCTTGAAGAATGTATTCCTGATCCGTTGACCGTGTGTGGGAATCTGCCCTGATCACTCACGGTTCTCAGTGCAGCATCATATAATGCCCTTCAATTCACTTGGGTTACTGAACACTATTTGCTTAAGTAGGGCATGCTAACCATTTTCGCTCAAATTTGTCATCAATTATTTTCAGTAACACTTTCATATGACTTTGACCATTGTTCTTAGCATGCCCTTAAGCATCTGGTTCCCGATCCACAAAGTATTCGTAGCGCTACGGCATTCATAAGTCTGTGATAGACTATGGAGTTTCGAACCCTTTCTGTATCGCTGACGTTCAAGATTGATTATTCTCTGAATTCACTTTGGCTCTGTCACGCCCTCATCTCATCTTCTCTCTCTCATCAATCTTAAGAATCAATACGATATTTCCGTACAAGAGAAAGCTCACCCTGATCCGTAATTGCACACGTAGTATCTTCCAAATCTGGTGTTGGGGCAATGGGCATACCCGCATCCAATCAAGAACGTGACGTTCTGGACGATCTACAGAGACAATATGTGGTACATGGCATTATACAGCATCCAAAGAATACACACCTGGTACCATTACAAATAATGAATACCTGTGATTTACGGAAATCATCAAGATAAAGGTGGATGTTGTTTATGTGAGTGAGGAAGGGACCTTAGTTTTACGCCGCTTTTAGCAATAATCCAACGTCACGGCGGGGGACACCAGAAGTGCGCTTCACATATAGTACCAATGTGGGGAATCGAACCCGGGTCTTGGAAGTGACAAGCGAACGCTTTACCATTAGGCTACCCCACCGCCCCTGATGTTGTTACGAACCTACTTCATGAGTAAGAATATGACACGTACCATTCTTTCAATGTCAAAAATTGTTTTTTACAGCTTGAAGTTAAGCATCATCCCGATGCCTGACCCCTGATCAACAGTTAATATCATCCCAATGTGTGTTCCCCCTGAAGGTATTAAACTCTAAGTGACGTCATGTGGTGCCATAAATTGGGATGATCCAGTTGAAGAGACGTTTTCTTTCTTTGAATATGTCCATCTGACTTTGAGAACACAAACAGATAAGACCCGTGAAAGTCCGGTTTAGAATTGATCTTCAGTAACCCATGCTTGTCGTAAGAGACAAACGGGATCGGGTGGTCAGGCTCGCTGACTTGGTTGACACACGTCATTGTATACCAATGGCGTAGATCGATGCTCATGCCGTTCATCAATGGTTGGTCTGGACCCGACTCGTTTATTTCCGACCGAGGCTATATAGCTGGAATATTGCTGAGTGCTGCATAAAACTAAACTCACTCACAAACAGATAAAAACTTGTAGGGAAATGCCACAAGTCCGAAATGAAAATACATCTACTTTATTTGAAAACATAAAGTGAGCATTCTTTTCCAGACGTATATGACATGTTCTGCTGGTGTTCAAACAAGGATCGTAATGGGCAGACATTTGTCTTCTTGCTTGGAGAGGTTAGAGATATAATACGGACTCAATGTGCTATGCAAGAGCATTCGGGTGTCCCCGACAGTAAATACATATAAAATTGTACCTGTGTATAGTGTCCGATCTTTTTCCATCCATCTCTTCCCAAATAGCCATTCGGGTTCTGGCCAAATCGATACATACTAACTTCGTTATACCATGCCATTATGGCGCTCTGCCAGTTCAGATATCCCCCAGCAATGTTTTGTCCTATTTCAAATCCATAGTCTGAAAAATAACCCACATCAGATAAGGTTATATGCCTTCCATTACGCTGACCTATAGTGGCCAAAATCCATATCCTCACAATAAATCCGACATCTACGGTGAAACGTGTACAGTCGAAAATATTGGAACACATTTATTGATGGCAAGTATACTAAGAGGCGAACGTATCGTGCGAACAGCGGAGAGTGACAGAGCTATATTTGGGGAGGTACTCAAGTTCTAAAACTAATGTCCCTTTGGGACGGTATGATCATACCACATTTTTATAGCTGATGTTAACATAACATCACCACAACGAAGCGTATTTTAAGGATCAGCTGATGAAGACTGTGATCCGAGTGACAAAATTCCACGATGCGCGAAACGCTGACAGTTTTTTTAACCCCCGTTTGACAACATAATCATGAATTATGACAACTGACTGACTGACTGAGTTTAGTTTTACGCCGCTTTTAGCAATATTCCAGCAATATCACGGCGGGGGACACCAGAAATGGGCTTCACACATTGTACCCATGTGGGGAATCGAACCCGGGTCTTCGGCGTGACGAGCCAACGCTTGAACCACTAGGCTACCCCACCGCCCCAAATTATGACAAACAGTCCATTCAAACACCAAACTATTTACAGCAAACTATATTAACACTGGTGCTATTGTCTCCTCCGTCTCAAAACTCCATTCAGGGTTGTATCAATATAATGACGTCACCTTCACATGACATTACAACTCATTTGGTGATTGGAGTTTGTACGTATTATTCTCCAGACACTGGGTCCCGTTCCACAAAGCGATGTAACGCTACGACTGTCGGAAGCAAAGCTGAAGTTATGGGAGTTACCATCACCCTCAGACTAAGATCGCATTGTTGGATATTATGGTTTGACTGAACAAGATGGCAGCATGATTTTAGATGAAGAATACAACGTCGACCGGGATGATCTTGATCTAAACACGTAACATGACAATGAGCTGAGGGGACATTAATTCATGATATATCTATTGGTTGCTTGTGAGGTTTATGTATGTAAGGAGGAACATACCGGGTATGGTTTTGACATTGTCGTGTTCCATCTTGCACTGACGCGCCCACTTCTCTGATACAGCTGCTAGCTTTGGGTCCCACACCTGTGGCAGAGTACACGTTACTGTGTCATACATACTCTGTACACATATACATATTCTAGACACATATACACATTCATGTATCATAACATGCAAAATGCATAAATACCTGCAGATTAGAACTGGTCTAGGCAGATAATCGATAATCTCCAACGCTGACATTCTCTATACATGTATTTAAAGTTAACTTAAAAACATCTCACATGACAAAATCTTCACAAAATATTTGAAGAACCTCTACTGAAAACTGATTACATCTCAATGATAAAGGTGGGTTCTGAAGGACGACATGTGTGGGGCCTGGCTGCAGCATTATGACGGTGGATATTAGAATAGAACAAATGTTTTTTAAATATAATTACATAAAATATAACCGTTGTGTTAACTACATGATCCCTTTCACATAATTATGCAATGAAAAGTCATTCTTGAGTTTGTAGGATGCGTTTGGCGTGGCGCTATAACCATCCCCAGGAATTATTCTTATTCACTTAGAATATAGACGATAAATACATATTACGTCACTATTCAATACCTAACTGACGAACACATTAGACTTACAAGTTTCCCAAGATCCGTAGCGGGTGGTTCTACCCTTCCCCGTAGTTCATTGTGGAGCGTTACAATATCAATCTGGTCTTGCGCAGCAACACCGAATGACGTCACTTCCGAGTTGTCTTGTAGACACATGGTGTGCCCTCTTATGGTGGAATACTCCGAAGTACATGTGTGCTGGGATCAAATATACAAGAGCAGCTTTATAGTTCCCATTCCATAACCCATGATAGTGACTATTCGAGACTGTTAGGAATGTCCTTTACTCAAAGAAACACATATGGCTGGTTTCAACTGTCCTCGTTTGATAGAAATATATTTCATATTTCAGAGAATCACACAGGTCACGCACAAGAGCTGACCAAGCGATAGGAGGAATAGAATAGACTCCAAGTATTCTTACAGACCTAGATAGAACTCGGTCCTCATATTTCGAAATTGTTAAACTTTATCTTTATAAATACACATTTTTGAAAACCTTATTGCAACATCAGCCCAATCAAAGCGTACCACACTTACCACTGTCAAATAGATAGAGGAGTACTTTCTGCAACGCGACCATAAATCTAAATATAGTATATGATTACAATTAATGCTGCTATAATGTGAAAATAAATGATGTGGTGCAAGTTGCATGGTTCAATTAGATTCATTGATTGAGTTTAGTTTTACGCGGCACTCAGCAATATTACAGCTATATGGCAGCAGTCTGTAAGTAATCGAGTCTGGACCAGGCAATCCAGTGATCAACATGAGCATCGATCTACGCTATTGGGATACGATGACATGTGTCAACCAAGTCAGCGAGCCTGACCACCCGATCCTGTTAGTCGCCTCTTACGACAAGCATGGGTTACTGTAGATCAGTTCTAACCTGGAAGTTCACGGGTGGTGCAATTAGAGCTATATCTCCATTATTTCCAGTAATATCATTTTCATTAGTAGAAATAAATACAGTACCAGCAGCAGTAGCAGCAGAGTAGTAGTAGTAGTAGTAGTAGTAGTAGTAGTAGTAGTAGTAGTAGTAGTAGTAGTAGTAGTAGTGGTAGTAGTAAATGTTGATTTAGTATTATCGTTAAGTTTAACGACGTTACCTGTGTACGTTTTGGACGACCAAGGTTTTTCTTTGGAAGGACGACGTCATGGGGGGAGTCATTCAGTACCCCACTGTTGCCTCTGTTCCCCGAGAAGACAATGCCGGACACTAGGTTGTCGTGACCATCCTCTGGAATTCAATTATAATGTTGATGAGCAATATTTACGGCCAAGCAAGCCCAATACGTAAGATGTGGCATCAATGTACAAGACAGACGTTTGAATATAAGTTCAGGAACCAGAGCGACGTGATGCCAAAGAGCTTGAAATACTACTGCCATAATTAATGTTTCTATACTGTCTAGGACAATGATGCCCAGTGCGGTATTGTTTATGGATTAGCATCTGCGTGTGTTACATTATAAAATACACAATATACAGGTGTTAAAAATATCAAAGAAATATGAAATCCGCACTCCAAAGGCTTGCGTGACATCTATGGCTCTTATGATATATGTTACAAAACTCGCTTCCACCAGATATCTCTAACCATTATAGAAGAACAGCTTGTAAGCAGTAGGCCTAAAGAGTACCATTTACAAACAGGAGAAGTGAAAGATTGATTTTGACTTGGATTAACATTTCACTGAGAATATGTTGATATCAAAGATATCGATTCTGTCGATACAGTTGAAACCGAAATTCACTAGATATGTACGACACATACGAAAACAAAACTGATTCATACTAATAAGAGGTATCAGGCTTTAGGATTCTCTGAGAGAACTTAAAATATCCAAATGTAGATGGTATATAGTATGATTTGCCACCCCTCACCATAACTGACTGACTGACTGAGTTTTGGTTTTACGCCGCTTTTAGCAATATTCCAGCAACATCACGGCGGGAGACACCAGAAATGGGCTTCACACAATGTACCCATGCGGGGATTCGAACCCGGGTCTTCGGCGTGACGAGCCAACGCTTTAACCACTAGGCCACCCCGCCGCCCTCTCACCACAACTAATCCACCGTCCCTTCTCTCAGGAGGTAACGTGATGACACTTTGATGTCCATATCCCATGTAACAAGACACGATCACGCCTAGCAAGGATGTTAAGAATGAATCTTGACCATCGATCATTACCCCAGTTTCGAGTGAGTGAGTGAGGTTAGTTTTACGCCGCTTTTAGCAATATTCCAGCAATATCACGGCGGAGGACACGAGAAATGGGCTGGAATTGTACCCATGTGGGGAATCGAACGAGTCTTCGACGTGACGAGAAAACGTTTTAACCACTAGACTAAGTTTTGGCAGTGTGTAAACCATCGACGTAAGTTGGTAGTATGACGATTTGCAAGAGACACACAAGAAATGAAATGGCCGTCGACCATGGAGTTGCATTGCACTTATTACTGAGTCATCAGACTCTCTTTCCTGAACGCCAATAGCACCTGGACCCTCTACGGGTTTTGTGCGATACTTCTTGACATACTTGACATAAGACGCAGGTCGCAGGTGTAGAAGTTAACTAAAATCCTGATTTCAATTCAATTTGCGATTACAACTTATGGGCTAGTGAGTGTCATTTCATGAATAGAAGGGTCCTTGGTTGTGTATCGTCTTGTATCGATATAGAGACAAATACCAATCCTGTATCATATCGTTGCACCGGCGTATCGTTATTATCAATTTCAACAAGTGTTTGAAACAACTGGTAAAACACTGTAGTTGTTTACAGAATTCACCATTGACGACAACATCAGGGAATGATTTGCTAACATATAAGAATGCTTATATTAAACTTTAACACAGGAGTCGCAGATACAATTGCCTCAATAGGAACACCACCTCATTCGCATTATAGATTTAACAATGCAGTTATCAAACTTCGTCTTCACTCAAGATGTTAAGTATTTTAATTTTGGCTAACATTTCTTATAATCGCCACCGGCTGAAGGGATGGTGTAAATCCAACTAGGGTCCATGCAGATAGCAAAGGTACTGTAAGTCCCCATGGTCCCTTGTATGGTGATCTACCTTCTGTTGTTGGCGATCTATAGCCTGTTTTTATATTGTATTGTCCCAATAGTGCTATTAGTTTTAAGCTTTCCACGCTAGTTTTAATTCTAATTGTGATATTCTAGTTGTTTTACTGTCCTTCGTCGACAGGTTTTTATGATATACATATATTCCGCTTCAAAATCAAATATGTTCTCGTCCCGATATGGCTGCAATATTGCCGATGTGACGTTAAATAATAACTCACTCACTCACTCAAGATACTAAGACATAAATGTCTCCTATCGTTAACACTATCACCTCCATCTTCCTTTATTATGAATGAGCCCCATCAATAAAGTTATTATGTCACTATATCTGAAACAAGTCCATACGGAACCAATAACAATGCTAAGCCAAGCTAGACTGGCAACATATTTTTAATGTCAGTTGACCTCCTTCTTCAATGAACCTTTCCGCTCTCCTGAAGTCCGACTACCGACTGTGTTTGGTGTGTCTGTGATTTACAGATGTAAAGTCTCGAAATAGAAGACACCCAATCGGACGTGAAACTACGGGAAATATTACATAACCCACATGGAAAACGTGCTGGAATAATCATGTATATGCGTCAGCAAACCGAGCTTCGGGCTGACCTAATTTACAAGTGCCCTGAATCTGTCAGTGGCGGTGTAATCCTCCATTACTCAAATAAGACTTTTTGTGGACCAACTAGAGAAGAAAATCAAATTAATTACGTGCCATCTCGTCCAGGAATGTCCAGGTGTCTGAAATAAACTTCAAACAACCTTTGTGGAGGGTTACACATATAAGTCAACCTGTATCGTACGTTACGTGTACATGTATAAAGGTTCACGGCGCGGGCACGTCAGAGAGAAACAACAAGGTATAAATGTAACATTGACGTATGTTAAACGGCTTATTGAAATAGCCTTCAGACAGTGTCGGTATAACATGAACTGCCGTGTGTTTGTCCGGAGAGAAATATGTTTTCCCGTGCAATGTGCGAACTTGGTTCAACGTCACTTTGAGCATTGTTCCATATATATCACGTCGTGTCAGGTTAACGAGGGATGAAGACAGTAATGCAGGTCTTAGATATTTATCTCTTTGCTGAAATCCACGAGCTCCTCGGGCATGGTGTTGACAAACTTAGAAAAATATAGTCGTGCGAACCTGGATTCGAACACACAGTCTTATGTTTGTGCGCTAGGAATATTATTCTGTACTGACTATAGCAAACCTTTACACGATTGGAACACCCCCTGTTTCCCGAATAATATACACAAAGAATTTTATTAAGCACCCCTGTATTTTTGCAATGATCAGTTTTCAACACGCACATACAACTTCTCGTGGTAACCACAGTTTTTCTGAACTGTATGATCCTTTCACTCATACAAACGACAAAACGATTGGCATCCATGTTGATTTTATGATTATAATTGCTCATTTTAAAAAATCACACTGATTTTCATACAAAACCATGTCTGTACAAGTATGTCTGGAATTTTTAATGTTGAATTTATTGGTGAATGTGAACATTTAAAATGTCATTTTGTGTGTCTTACACGATTCAAGGTCAATACCTAGTGTAACCTCCATGTGACTGCATGGCAGCCAGCACACTGCTCCTCATACCCTGTCAGCCTCCTGATCCTCTGAAGAGGTAGTTTGTGCCATTCCTCGTGTAAAGCAGCTTCCAATTGGAGCAGGTTCTGTACAGGAGGATCAAACATTCCCAGACGACCAAACATGTCCCAGATATGGTCCAAAGGGTTAAGACGTGGCTCATCCAATCGTGAGATGTGAGTGAGTGAGTGAGTTTAGTTTTACGCCACACTCAGCAATATTCCAGCGGTATAGCGGCGGTCTGTAAATAATCGAGTCTGGACCAGACAATCCAGTGATCAACAAGATGAGCATCGATCTGCGCAACTGGGAACCGATGACACGTGTCAACCAAGCCAGCGAGTCTGACCACCCGATCCCGTTAGTCGCCTCTTTCGACAAGCATAGGTTACTGAAGATTCCTTCTAACCCGGACCTTCACGGGGAGACAAGCATGGGTTACTGAACATTCATTCTAATCCGGACCTTCACGGGGAGACAAGCATGGGTTACCGAAGATTCATTCTAACCCGAATGAAGGGTCGCCGAGGTGAGCGTCGAAGCTTGGGGCACGAGCCTGAGTGGAGCCGCCTCGGGTGCAGATCTTGGTGGTAGTAGCAAATATTAAAAAGTGAACCTTTTTAAGCGATTTAGATTCACGGGCCCAATCGTGAGATGTGTCAGGGGGTGCTTTGTGTAAGTTAAATGTTGACAATCTATTTTGTTTCTTTCAAATACTTTTGACTCCAATATGGCTTGTTTCAAGAGGCGGCTAATTTGGATGGGGGGTCAGGTTCTATTATTAAGTTGCTATTCTTAATATCAAACAGACACTGGTTTAGAACGACGATTCCTGGAGCAATAAGGGAAAATATCCCAACAAATTAAACATTAAGACAAGAAGGTATTCTACGTGACCAGATCAACGAAGAGGTCTTCCCAACAAACTACAAATTGATTAATAAGTAAACACAGTAAGGAGAAAGGAAAGGTATTATCGAATCTTGAGAAGTAAACAGGGATTATAGGTTAATCTGATTGATGGTGTATCCCTTGGTTGAAATTTGCAATCTAGATACTATATTTCCAGGAGATGAGTTTGAGAGTATGAAAGAAAGCAACCGTGTAAGTGATAGTAGGCATGACAAAAAACATTCACATCACAGGCAGCTTGACGTTGCAACGTATAAATCAATGACAATGAGCGATTTAGATTCAGACTAACATTATGTAATGTGGCTGAGCGGTCTTGGCGTCTGACTTTGTGTGTGGGCGAATAGGTGCCTGACTCGGAGGGGGTGGGTTCGAGTCCCGGATAGGACTCAACCCCCAAATGTACTAGAAAATGTACTTTACTAAGAAAGTGTTATCCCAAATATAGCATATGTTACATTTGACCACTTTCTAAAATGGCACTGTGTATTTCATAGCTTTCGGCCGTGGCAGCCGCGCCAATTAACACCTATCAGACTTTCTTTCATACTCTCAAACTCATCTCCTGGAAATATAGTATCTAGATTGCAAATTTCAACCAAGGGATACACCATCAATCAGATTAACCTATAATCCCTGTTTACTTCTCAAGATTCGATAATACCTCAGCATGTATGTGTGTACAAGTGTAAACCGGCAGATCTACATACGTAGCAGGTATGGCATCTGTACAATTCAAAACAGCAGTGGAGCTTATATGAAATGGATCACTGAAAATCACATCAGTATATGCCAAATGAGACATTGTATCCTACAAGTGTTCATGTTTCTACAATTACAAAAATATTGGGATATATCGGGATGAATCAGGCCTCGACTCGTTTTTGTATCTTATCGGGTCATTGGTGACTGTGCCTGTCAACATCGGGCCGACAACGAACAAGATAAAGGTGGCTAAACGAAAAGAGAATTATGTCAGGATTGACTTTATAATGAAGAAACCTCGTATAAGTATAATGTAAAATGTACATGTACAGAGAATTCAATATCATAATTATTCTATAAAAAACAGTGGATACATGTACATGTATACATGAGATAGTGCTGGCTCCTGATGTTGTAAACTCCTCATTGCGTGAAACCGATTGTTGCCATGTGTCGCCATGTTGTTGCTGGCGTGAAACTGATTTAGACATAACACCACTTGTTTCACACTCTCATTACAATGAGCGTGTGAAGAAAATAGTTTTCATGAATAAATGATTGAGGCTGAGTGGACTGTCACCTCATTACATTACACACGTTAGAACAAAGACACACATACATACATACATACATACATACATACATACATACATACATACATACATACATACATACATACATACATACATACATACACACATACACACATACATACATACATACATACATACATACATACATACACACACACATACATACATACATACATACATACATACATACATACATACATACATACATACATACATACATACATACATACATACATACATATACACACACATATATACATACATACATACATACATACATACATACATACATACATACATACATACATACATACACACACACACACACACACATACATACATACACACATACATACACACATACATACATACATACATACATACATACATACATACATACATACATACATACATACATACATACATACATACATACATACATACATACATACATACATACATACATACATACATACATACATACATACATACATACATTCAGTATTGTTTATCAAGTACTGCCCACAAAACGTCTCCTGTGGGGACACTCTCGACCCTGGGACATGTTTTTAAAGGTGTACGATTTGTAGCAGTTGCGCTGCTTGTGTCTCTCTGTGCTGCTCCCTAAAACACATAGCTACGGTTACTGCTAACATTCCGCTATTGTAATTACAGCGATGTGTAAGAGTTGGGCAGACGATCTGAGGTAGATGTATCCTACTCTCATGCGGCGTGGAAGCGTTCACATAAAATAATAACATTTCTAATTATTTATTGTCTGGTACGGATTCAAATTGAATTTTGCAATTATTCTCCACCCAAATAAGAAAATAAAGCGAGCATTGGCATTGCTTATTTTGCCTGCAGGAGGGGCGCTACACATGTCTCACATGCCACCTTCTCTTGCTGAGTATGTTCAGTAATGATTCAAGGGCCGTATAAAGACCCTTGCAGTTACGGGATCACTGCCAAAGCCTTCTTGGTACGTTGTTACATTCCAAAATATCCCTCTATCACGCTTTCGTTATGCAACCATTAATGCGATATACGAGAGTTTTCAAGATGCGATGCCATTCAATACCATGGTGTCATTCAGAACCCTGCCTGAAGCCAGTTCCAGTTTTCGTTTCATCGTCTCATTTTAACAGGGTACCTGATTACGGAAAGGTCCAAGTGTGAAAAATCACAAATATTAACTGTTTTAATTTCGTGGTTGCAATATTGCTATAATCTGAAGGTATGTCACATGTTTAGCTATGGATAACAGTAATGTTATCTTTATCGGCTCAAACCTTCTTGGCATTATGAAATAACTAAGTATAAATATATTTTAATTAATTATATTTTATAATTATATTTATTATGCATGTATTTGTTATGTTAGTATAAAAACCCAATCAACTGTAAATGCTATCTCAGTTTGATTGAGTACGTTGGTCATATCTCCGGAAATCCCTACAGGATCCGGAGTAGCTGTGGAAAGGGTTTTGTTGGGTCTATCAGGCATGTGCTACTGGCGTCGTAGATGTTATAACATTTTCTACGGTTCCGATGGCAACCGTAACATTCTTAAGTGCACGGTAGCTTTTCGCACCTTTTAGTTTGTTTCGGCAGCCGCTTCGGCAAAACGTGGTAAATGCGCGCTTAGTGAGTGAGTGAGTTAGTTTTACGCCACACTCAGCAATATTCCAGCTATATGGCGGCGGTCTGTAAGTTTTCGAGTCTGGATCAGACAATCCAGTGATCAACAGAATTAGCATTGATCTTCGCAATGTGGGATGCGATGACATGTGTCAACCAGGTCAGCGAGCCTGACCACCCGATCCCGTTATTCGCCTCTTACGACAAGCATAGGTTACTGAAGATCGGTTTTAACCCGGATCTTCACGGTTGCGTGCTTCGTTTAGTAAGGACAGAGCTCGGTCAGTCAGCTGTCCGCAAATCTTCAGTAGGTTCCAGTGCGACTTGGTTGAAGTGGTAGAGGTAAGCAGCACAGGGTGGAGATCGTCATCACAAGATATTTTGGTGCTGAAGTCTAATGGTCTTCGGAGTATTCGCATAGACTTTGATGAGGAATGGTATCAGAGTATAATTTAACAAATTTGATTGTTTCAGGTAATATTATTTTTTTTGTTTCAGTTTTTTGTTTAGCGTTGTTAAGATCAGTCCCCCAAGTGTCTGTTAGCTACAATGTTTCTAACAACGAGTTGTAAATAACGAGCGAACGAGATAGACACATTCATGGACAAGGAGGGAACTATAAAAGTATTAAAGTTGACTGATTGTGTTTTAACGCCGCACTCAGCAATATTCTAGCTATATGACGGCGGTCTGCAAATAATCGAGTCTGGACCAGACAGTCCAGTGATCAACATCAGATCTACGCAACTGGGATACGATTACACGTGTCATCCAAGTCAGCGAGCTTGACCACCTGATCTCGTTAGTCGCCTCATTTAAAAAAAAAGGTACGAGTGATGTGAACTCTTCATCTATTGGTTCTTCATACATTCAATTTTCCCAGTTTCGTCGACTAGATTACCTATTGCTATCCGCATCTGTTCTGACCTTCCTCTTAAAAGCTTTAGCTTAAGCTAACATTAATTCCCACTACCAAACCATGACATTTCGACATGTAGGTATTCGGCTGATCAATGAATTACAACATTAAAATAGTCCGTCATAATTTGACCTCAGGTCACCAACATGGAGTAGCCAATCACGAACGTGGAATTCTATATCATGCATATGTTTGATACCAGTCAACTCAAATACATTTCACACCTTCACATGTGTAAGAACAGTTCTGACGTCTCTGTTACAACCACGTCGCAGTCAAAT